CAAAATTTCAAGAAAAGAAAAAGTATGTGTACGGTTCTGCCATATCTAATAACGGCCAATTAGTGACAAGCGAGTTATGTTTATTCAACACTACGTATTCAGATTATTATGATAACGAATAATTTTATAACAAACGTGGTGTGTAATATTGTTTGTAAGTTGGTACTCAATTTAGTACACTTGTTAAAATGTTCATACGTTTGTTAAATACGTTCTAGAATTCTTTTGTCGATAAAAATCTTTTACGATGTGAATAATCAGCGAAATAACACTCCTCATGTGCATAATCACAGTCATGCAAACCGGCAGGACCCTTTGCTGGTGGGCATTTTTATATTGTAGCAAACTCCTGCAGAATTAAATAAGTTGACTTTAGTAATGGTGCCAAATAGTATGAGTATTAATAAAAATATAGTGTAAACTATGCTCACCATTTCTGTTATTAATTATATCCAGATATCGCTTCATTAATTGTTGCAAAAATATAAAATAGGCTCTGACAGCAGGACCTTCGTTCATCCATGATTGTGAGGCCTGGGAGCTGAGCTCGCGGTGTGCCGGCTTACAGTCTTTATGACTAGCGACAAAGTTTCGCCGATAAATCAGAGATATGTTTAATGGTTTGGCTGCGTTGGGCTTACAAGGTGCTATTAATTTGTGGGCGGGAAGATGTAACTGAATTGGAGGGTTATTTAGTCGATGTTTATCGACGTCTGTAATCCATTTATCAAGAAAGTCACTGACGGAGAGCCTCATAGTAGAATGTTACGTAGCGTTTTCTATATGGTTTGAGGAAAGTGAGGGGGTTGTTATTATATTAATATATATTTTGAATTTGGCGCAGCGCCTATTGTTAATAAATGACTCGCTTTGGCTTCTATTTAATTATATTAACTATTCATATACTCATACATAAGTAAAATAACTTGCCAAAAAAGAACAGCAGATGCAGGGATTTTGCCATAAATGTTCAATATGCAGATCGGCAGCAAAAAACAATACTTCTAAAATTTATTGTAAAAACATCTTTAGAATAGTGAGAATTGACCCTTACACTATTACATATTCTCATTCGCTTCCAATTTTATAATACATGGAGTCCGAAACCGATATAAGTGAAAAAGCAAAATTTATTATAATGGTTAGATAGTGTCGTAAATATACTTAGCCGGACTTTTACGTATTACTTATGGCAAATAAGTTTTATGATAGCTACTACAAACTCTCCGACGTTTGAAGTTGAAACTATTTATTAATCTGTCTTATCAATCAAACAGTCGCTCATAATAATGTGACAACCATTTCTTGTTCAGTTGGAAAACTTACCTCAATTAATAAGTTTCCTTCAAACCTGTCTTGTAAAAGTATGATCTGCTTAGATTAATTCTCCCGAGGTTTAGAAGAGATAGTTTTCGAGACAGGCTGAGATTGTGAAGATGCCATAATACCTTTCACCAGATTTTCACTTCCTTCTTTGGTCACATTTGTGTTACTAGCTTTAGATTGTGAACGAGAGGTGACTGGATGGGGATTTCAATTTGTTCTAAATTTCAGTAATAAAGTGGAAATTGGATTTCAAGACCAATACTAACACGTCTTACTTCTAATTTATTATCAGGAGAAAGGCCTTGAAAGAATTGTTGTCTAACCATTTCTTCCTGAGTTAATGCTGGAAGTGCTGGGTAAGCAAGTATAACTATTCTTTTAATTGTGCATAGAATCAAACATATTAAATGTACTAATACATATTTGGCAATGCCTCCAGTTCCAAGTTCCTCAAATAATTAGCCATTAACTTTATGCGCACTCAATGTCTCGGTCAAGACGAGATATCGGGCTCCCTGATCTCTCGTCTTTTTTACCAAACAACCCGGCTCACTATTTGGAAAACAGTGCTCCTCTATCATATAATTCATTAGTAACTCTTCTACTTTTGAGTTTATATAATTCCAAAACAAATTGGTGGATGGCATCACATTATACTGTACACATTTCTTTTTCAAATTAAACAAACTGACATGAATACACCTGATAATAAATTTCAATCAAACTTCCCATTGAACTCAAACATATCTAAAGCAAGTCGATTCTCTAATTTGAAAAATTGTTTTGCGATGTAATTATATCAATGAATTAATAATAAACTGTTTAATTAAATGCATATCTTCGATTACATATTTTCTTAAGTCAGCCATTGGGGGGAGCTGCTGCTGGCCAACTTATCGAGACTAACTACATATCAAAAATATAGAAAAAGGAAAAGGAAAAAAAAAGAAGAAGAAAAAAGGAACAGGAAAAGAAAATGAAAAGCAAAAAAAAAAAAGGAAGAAAAAAAAAGCACAATAAAAAGCAAAATAAAAAGCAAAATAAAGAAAGGAAGGAAGCGAAAAGGGAAAAAAAAAAAAAGAGAAAAAAAAATCGAACGTCGATGTTGAATCATGTTTCTGGATTCGCAAGAGCGCGTAAGTATGTATGTATGCCAATTGACCGATATAAGCCGTAAGTGTCGCAGTTTACATAATATTGCAGTTAGATCCAGCAGGACCGTCATTCGGATTGGATCCGTAGCTCTTCACCTTGGCAACAACAAGAAAAATAACCACAATTTCGATAATTGAGTTCATTTGTTGAGTCAAACCCGAGATTATGGCGCAAACTGTATGGAACATTGGGAGTGAAGCGCAGAGATAAAGGTCTGGTTTGTTTTTGTTTAATTTGAATTTAAATCGTTGTTTTTGTTATGTGTACTTGCCGATTATTACTTGTATTTATAGTCCTATCTCATTTTAATACGTAATCGCGAAGATAAAACCGTTGGCGTTTCAAGCACAATTGAACAGGTACAAATGTAGGTAAAAGAGGATACGTTTTACTTTTACTGGATAGTAACGTTTAATTACTAAATTTGCAATAATAAACCTATTGTATTTTGATTATTAGACAAGAAATTGGAATATATATTTTATTAACCATTTGCGCATATGTATAGCGAACAAGCCAATAAATAACAAATTTAGCATAACGCATCTTGAAACCTAAACGTTTCAAAAATTTATGAACAAATGAATAAATAACTCCATATAGGGGCAAAACCAAAGCAATTCAAATACTCACACATTGTGTAGTATTCCGTATAAATACTGCAAATGCTACAAACAACAATATTAGCCGTCGTAAATTGTTGGAGTCATGACGGCAGCATGGGCGATATGCAAAGATGTTTCTTCACTTAAATTCTTATTAGTAGTGTGCATGTGAATAGATAAGATAATAGACAGACACTCATATGCAAATGTTTTAGTTAATGGTATGTACTTTTGTTTTTACGCATATTCAAGCGTAATGGTTTATTATAGAATATACGTATATTGATCAACGGTTTAGCGACAATGGTCAGAGTACTAAATATTACACAACGAGCAGGCATATTGCTTGTAAATTATACCTACTATGAGCATACGCGCATTTATCAATTTTTTTTACTGTGAGAAATTGAGCTCGATTCAACTATGTTGGTGTCAATGAATAATAAATTACCGTGTATGTAGCACACATATTATTTTACTACTAATAAAATTTATATCGCAAGAGCCAACATTACAAATCATTTACTACCAAGTCTCAGGCTTTGGTTTGTTCGCTTTCCATGTCTATTCGAAAACTATCTTATGATATAATTATAATCAATAAAAACACTTATAATAAAAACCGCACAAAAATTATCAACATCGTTGATTAAGTTCAAA